TGCGAATAGCACTGCAGAACAATAATTGACAATGTCATATAACATTGTTCATGTCATGTAATAATGTTATTCTAATGTGTGTACACACATTAGAATAACAATGTTATATGACATTGTCACCTGTTATATAACAAAAATTACACGACATGTTACTTAATCTGTACGCACCCTTATGCATCCAAGTATCTATTGATTAAAAAAAAATTGTTCTACCCGAAACATTAATCTTAAGGATAAGATAATGGGGGTAGTGTAGAACCATATTTTGTTAATCAAAAAACATTATTATTATTGGGTTATGTATAAAGTTTTCCCATCTGGTTGGGCTGTTTAAATATATAATAATAAACGAAAGGTATAAACATACATAATTATCACTAAAATAGAATAAATAGATAAAAAATAAATAAACATATAAAAAGTCAACCAGATGGAAGCCCTCGGCAGGGGAGACAAAACAGCCGATAGTTAGAGGGAAAGGAAAAGAAACCGGGGACCATGCGGGTGGTACCGAGGAGCACCGCCTTCTGCATTTGAGCTTAGAGTGATCCATCACGTAGTCCCAGTCGCCTCAGATGACCTAAAAGGCTGACTGGGATTAACCCGTTCGCAGAAACGACCACAGGAATAATTTCGGCCGGCAGATCACCCCACATGTCGGTCACTTCCTGAGCCAGGTCCAGATATTTTGTCAGCTTATCTGTTTCGGCTTTCACGAGGTTCTCCTCTTAAGGAATGGTAATGTCGACCAAAAATATCCTTGACTGTGCCCGATCCATCAGCACAATATCAGGCTTATTCGCAAGAATAGTCCTGTCTGTGGTGATGGCGCGGTCTCAGTAGAGCCTGGCGCGGTCATTTTCGAGTATGGCTTCCGGCAAGTATTAATAATATGGCAGTTTTCGATCGAGGCCGTATTTCAAAGCGGGCGCCTGGTGTAGAATTCTGGCTACTAGGTTGTGTCTGTGCAAATACTCAGAGTTAGAAAGCGCCGAACAACCAGAGATGACATGCCTAAGTGACTCACCGGGATGGCGACAAGCCCGACAGATGTCGACGGCGCAATCCTTTGGGATGTATTTCCGATAATTGTTGGTCTTAATAACCTGATCCTGTATTGCACAGACAAACACTCAGTTTCCCCAAAGACGTCACCGAAACGTAGCCAGTGGAGGGAGGCAATTGTGTCTGCCCCATACGTTGCCCGAGGAAGTCTCGAAACGTACAGTCAAACTTGTACAGCTAGAGGACCCTCTTTAGCCATGTATGGGGCACCGAGTCGGATGCCTTTCTATATATAGTCTATTCAGGCGGCGGAGAAGTTCCAACGGTTGCGTTTAACCACTATGCCAATGACCACGTCAATGAGGAGTGGTTCCTTGGTTCCACGACCACCGCCCCGGCATCCATTTCGAGCACGCGACATGACCTGATTTAAATCCAGGTGACGAATGATTCGCGTACTCAAAATGGATGTCAGTGTCTTATATATGGTGGGTAGACACGTAATGGGGTGGTATTTCATCGGGTCTGTTTAATCCCGGTCTTTAGGAACTAAATGAGTGATCCCAGTAGTGAAGAGGATTGAAAGCGACTTTTGGTCGAGAACCACTTGAAACTGTCGGGCGAGAACAGCGTGACACACTACGAACCCCTTCAGCCAGTAGTGATGCAGTCCGTCGAGTCTCGGACTTTTCTAGTTTGGGGCTCTACGTACCGCCTCAGCTGCATCATCCGGCGTTATGATGACGGGGTCCATGGGCGTAATATTCGCACACTGACTCGCCACAACTTCCGTCCAAGGGCTCTCACTGTAGTTTACGGGCTCTGACTACAGACCGCGCCAGAATGCGAGAGTGTCGACCTGATTCATCGATCACTCTGGAAGAGACGATTTTGGTTGAACCGTGTCGTCCTCTCGGTATATCGCTGAATCCGCTTCCCCCAAGCAGCGATTCTCTGCTTTAGGTCGTGTACGCGCTCCGTCAGTTTTTGCGTTATATCCGGATGGGACAAGCTGATATTTGTCACAGCAAACGCCATCTTGACGGTGCGCACAATTCTCGGCCTATTATTGCCCGACCTGAAGCTTATCAGTCTGCCGATGAGAGCCCTTGCCTTTGCGGTGCGGTCCTCAATCCTTCTTCTCTAGGCTGGGATAGCGCTACTTTGTCTAGTAGCACGTCTAGCCGTGGGAAGTTTGGCGCCAATAATACGGTAAACTGCCAGTGCAGCGCCAAAAAGATTGAGTCAGTCTCGCAAAGATCCCGGCTGGCTTCCAAATAGGTAACAAGCATTGGGTAAAGAGCCCTCACGACAGCCCGATTCCGCTTGCTTAAGGGTATGCGGGGAAGTCGCGGTCGATTTTCGAGAGGCGTACTGAGCTTTTCCTAAATAGCTTCTCCCAATATGCTCCTCATTTGCTCTAGATTGTGGGAGTCTATTTCATCATTGTCTGAATCTACTACAACTGGAATATCCGCGGCGGCATCCACAGTAGCATTTTCATCCGATGAGGGAACAGCCTCACATCGTAGTTGTTCGAGTTCGGCGTCACCAAATATGTTGGAGCGCAGGATGTAACAAACTCGGTCTGCCAGATTTTGCTCTGTTACATGAACAGATGGCTCCAGCTCTGTGAAAAAGCGATGCATCCGAGCCCAATACGCTAACATTCCAGTTTTTTTCCCTTTTGCCCTAAAATACGCTCGCAATGCGTTTGCGTTCATAATTTTCGTCCAACGCATGCGACGTGTTCCACCAGCGGCAGGTGCCGCTTGCTGAGTCCGAGAAGACCCATTCGACACCAAGCGGATGATGGAATGGGGATGATGGATACGGGCGGCTACGAGGTGTTCTTGCAGCCCCCCGCGTTCGACTGGCGTCACGCATGCTGTCAATTAACGGGAGACGCCCAGGCCCGGCACCGTTTCATGGTGCGGCCGTAAGCACAAACGAGCCTTTGTACCATCAATTCTGCCGAGGCACGGCGCTCACACCTCTTGGCAAGGCGCTGACTGACTGCTCTGACATAGCAGTTTTGTCACTTAACTGTTACGTCAGCGGGCGATTGGGTTGTCAATTCCCTACGCCTTATTTATTTTTATTTTTATTTATTATTATTATTAATTTATCTCGTCTTTAAAATAGGAGAGTCGGCTGAGTGAGGAAACTTCCTCTCTTTGCCCTTTGTATCGATAAGTGATATTATCATCGAGCGTAAGGAATCCTCCACTATTATTTATTACTCGACTAAGAGAGGGGTCAGAAGAGTAATGTGACTTATGAGTTTGCTTTATTTTTGGTACCAGCGATTGGGAAAAAGGCGTCCGTTGCAGCAATATGTCGGTGTAGGCCTATTTGAATATACGGCCGTCGGCAAATAATTATCTCTGCGGGTTATAAACTTATACTCGTCGATTCCATAGTGGGCGGAGCGTTATAAGGGGACCGGCGCAGGTGCATATAGATGTCTAAATAGGTTTGTTCTACTCACTCGTGGGGCCAATATGCAAGTTGGGTGTAGGCGCAGCTAGTTTTCTTCTCTTTTCGACTAACGCGGTCTCACAACTTCACTATCGTGAGATGGGCGGAACTGGAATGAGCGCTTGGCTATAATGATGAAAAACTTGACCACAAGGCCCACCATTTTCTTTGTTGTTGGTTCAGATTTTCTGATTTTCTTTTTTGGTACTAAACCATCACATATATTTTTATTATGTGTCCCATCACACCAAAAAAATCATATAAACTTTTTAAGTCACGAATAACGTCATGAATGAAAATAAATGTCATGAAATAAAATATTTCATTTCCAATAACTAAGAATAAGTCATATTGATGGCATTTTGGATGACGTCACTAGGTTCATTAGACGCAATAATAATAGCATATGATTGGTCGGTTGGCATCGAAGGCTCATCGCGCATCGTCAAATCCAATAAGAGAGTGCCTCCATGTTTTTCAAATTCGTTTCTTTTACAAAAGTACACTTTTTAAATCTACACGATAAATTATTATACAAATTCATAAGTTTGCGCATTTACCGCCTCTAAAAGTCTTACTTCCATGTTGCTGCAGCCAGTAGCAGAATCTTCGGCGTTGACATATCGAATGACCTGCAGTAGCATTGTGGCTTGGAAGAGAAAGCTAAATTGGCTTCTAAAAAGCTTGGCATACTCAGTAGAGCGAGCGGGACATTATTTCATGCTTGCACACCATTTGCAACTTTACATGCGCAGGTTCGGCCTCAAATGGAATAATGTTCTCATCTCTGCACCGGAGCTCTCCAGTGCTCTTCATTTGACTGCATAGAGAGCTGAGCGGCTTGAATACTCAACGACCGAGTTCTCTTTGATTGCCTCGATTCACTGGCGCTGTGTAAAGATGTTGCATCTCTTTGCATTTTCTATCGTATTTACCACGGGGAGAATTGTTCGGATTAATTCCAGCACCAAATTTCACCAGCACACATCGCGACAAAACTTACGATTAACGAAAAACTTAAAATTTTAATATAATTCTATAACATCAGGAGAACAGCAGATGTGTTGCCGGCCTTTTAAAAAGAAATAAGCTCGTTTCTTGAAGGTCTCAAAGTGGTATCGGTCCATAAAAATCGCCGATGGTAAACGATTCCTAAAAAAACTCCTAATAAATCGCACGGTAGTGGATCGCCAAGGATCCAAATGTTGTGGCTGGTAACGTGAGTTTTGTCGCGACATGCGCTTAGTAAAATGAAAATTTTAAATAAGTATTGTGAAAAAATGTTTTTACAAATCATTAAAAAAAACTTGTTTAATTTTAAATGTTATCCTCTCATTGTTAATTATTTAAATATTTTGTTAAATACATTTCATAAAATTTATTTCCGTGTTCTATTCCATTTGTTGCAATTTTTGAAAAACGTAATTTGCACATACTTTGTATTTCTTTACCCTAATAGAGATCCGGCCATGGTTACTAAAGTTTTTAAAACAACAATTTATGTTTGATCGCAG